ATAGGTTAGGGAATCGAATCTTGAGGAGTTGGGATGTGGGGATGTTTGCTTTGAGGTTTTCTGTTGAACACAGATTGCCGACTTTCAGGTCCTATCAAATACTACTAACGAGGACTGAGAAGTGCGTTTTTATGTTCTGATGCTCAAGACTGAAAAGTCTGGGAAACTGTATAACTGTAAAACTTGGGGGATTTGGGAGTAGCTGTGGAGTTTCATTACAGCGAGCTTTCTGTAGCACAGGAATTTAAAGCATGTCACTGGGACTGGAAAAGTTGATGAGAAAGTTTATGTAAGCGGGAGGAAAGAGGCCTAGAAAGGCTGAGGAATGTGGAGGCTATTGAAACAAATCAAGAGCACTAGCTCAGTTCGAAGTCCGACTCTTTCAAGTGTGATAGCTGGGATTGCACGTGCTGCCAGGGGTAGAGATCGCTGATGATGGGAGTGTAGATATTACGAATCCTATTTATTCGCTTGGCAGGTATCAAGGATGTCTGAGTTCTGTAATGGCTTCTGTGTTGAATGTTGTGAAGAGTTGAATGTGTGTATGTATGTTATGTGCAATCTGAAGCAGGAATTATTACAGAACAATAACCGTAAAGATGCCTAAGCCATTTTAGGAATTAAAATTATCCTGTGTTAATGTGTTTTTCTGAAAGTAGGTATTGCCCCACATTTGAAGCAGACTTGCAAATAGTATGGGGAATGTGTGCAGAGGATAAGGCTGGATTTTTACAAACTGCAATCCTCTTTTGACAACGAGTAATCTTTCTGGCTTTCTAATTTGTTTCGATTGTCGGCTTTGAAATGAATTCAATATGCAATATCTTAAATGGAAGAGTGTCACTAGGGGGTGAACGCTTTCTTTGAACTCCACGAAGTGACTCATGTACATGGGTCCAATATTATGGATGTCATAAATGTGTTGCCGCTATCACTTGCATATCGTTTCATTGGCTCGGCCTTTGGTTAATTGCTGTGTAGAATCTTACACTTTGCTGAGAGATCAAGCATTAATGATTGAGTGAAACAGAGGCATGACTTGCAAGTCCCCAAACCCTCTTGCAGAGAAGCTTATCTTTTATAAATGTTTCACTGTCTCTGTTGCCAGGAGTGGCAATGGGGGCAGACATGTTTGATGAAGGAAACAAATCAAACAATAAATGACTTTGAAGCTATCACCTCCAGGATGTTTAGTTTGTAATATGGGAGGGGATGGGCTGTTCACCCTTGAGACCGTAAACTAATAAATATTCCAACGTTTAAGTCAGCACGCTGAAGAATATTGTGTTCCCGCTAAGGAGGATGTAGGGTTTATCTTACAAGATGGAGACCTGGTGGTCATTTTCTGCTCTTTGTAATTGAATCTAAAATGAAATGGGATACATTTGTGGACTTTGACAGATTGCTCTGAAGATTTGTTTTAATTACCCTAGGCATGCCTGAGGATAGTTTGTCTAAACTATCCTGGCTGTTAATTGTTCACTTGTTAATTTTTTGCTACCCTGGACTGCAGTGTTGTTCTTACTCACTGATGTTTTCCACCCTGTATGTTTCAGAGCAACAACATTCTTCGCACCAATAAGGCTCTCGTTTCTTGCACTGAGGACACTGAGGGAACAACCCGTTCTCATTTTAGTATAAGGATCCCGTGTCAGAAAGACTTCACTGACCGCACTGATTTCTTTCGAACGCTTTCCCTCCTCTTCATAGGGAACAACTGTGCCCTGCACCTGTTGGCTTCCTGCAGGGGCGTCTGAGATTCTCACCATTGATGGGTTTGCTTGATCATGCAGTCTTTGAAAATCAGCACCAATACTCAAAGTGGTGGAAGCAAAGTTTTCAGAAAATACCACCTGGCAGTGCTGCACGTTTTAACAAACCACGCTTTTCTGTAAGACTACTCTGGCAGAGCACTATAGACGGTGGACTTAAGTCTTCACTCATTCACCCGTTATTGAAACGATTATAAGAGGAGCTAAAACAAAGTTTTCAATTTGTTTCAAAAAGAATATCAGTTCAAGTGGTGAAATAGGTAGGTTTCAGTGTTCATTATACTATCTCTGACCATTTTGCATAGGAATTATTTTTTTGAAAAGAGGAATTTGTTAAATGTACTTAAAACCTCTAGTATTACTGTAAGTGTCACCCGAGGTTTATATAAGATCAATTGTAAACCGTTTGTACTAAATGGCAGAATTCTAAGTTTCATTACTTAAGTGTGGTGTACAAATGCGCAAACGTAACCGAGTCTTTACAGAAGACCGTGTTAATTTTTATAATCTGGGCCATTTCATATTGTATATTTTTCCCCTTCATCATATTCCATATAGACTTAATTAAAATACAGTTTGCATGTAACTGTCATTACGATGATAAATATTAACATCCTAAAGATGTAATGACAAAATTGGAAAACCTAGATGAAAACCCACAGGGAGGAGGGGTGACTTGGACATAATTTCTTAGAAGCGAAAGTTAAATATTTATGTTCAGCCCAGCGATATGAGTCACAGAGGTAAAAAATTACTAATGCTGATACAGCAACTGGAAATTCTTCAGTACATGGGCAGGTCTTATCTCTACTGTATGATACAGGATGTGGCATTGTGGTGCACTGTCTTGATCTTTGACCTGTTTAGTGGTATACTGCAGGGGACCACTCCTTTTTTGAGTGAATCACTTGGGAAGTCCCTTTTACCATAGTGAAGTGGTAAGATTCACATCCATACTTCCGAGGAGAATGTTGTACGTGAGTGAAGGTGTTTGAGTTAAGAGCTGCATTGGGGCTACAAAGAGATGTTAATTCCACACCGAAGAGTAGAAAGCTTTTGGCCCTTCTTCAGAAGACTCAACAGCATGTCGCACACACAAACCGTGCAAGACTCTCACCTGCATCAGAGCCCAACAGCCATTCAGTTCTACACAGATTCGTTTCACAACGACTTTTTGTGATTTTTTTTATTGATTAAAATGAATAGTTTCAGTAAACAAAGTGCTGAATAGTTCATGATTTCCTGAAGTGTTATTAAGCTAAACATTTTTTTTTTCATATACTGAGCATCAAAAGAAACTTATCACTCTGTTCCTGCATGTGGGTTTTTAGTAAAGTAAAACGTGTTTTTTGTTTGCTGATCAAATGTTTATTTTCATTAATTGATTGATTAACTCCAGTGACTGGTACATAAGCACTAAATTACTTCGTTAATGAGAGATCTGAAACCCCATTAAGGAAAACCCCCAGAAGGAACCAGCATTCTATGTGCTATGTGCTAGTTTGGGGAATAATAGACCAGGAGGGCCAGATGTGGCAGTCTGGACAGGAGTGTCAAGTCTCTCCACATCTCCTCTTGCAGTGACGGGTGGCAGCCTGCCTGCACAGAGCCACTCTGACCAAGTCCTGGGACTTAAATTGCTGCCCTTCCTGGGGGCTCATTCTGATGTGACCACCTTCCACAGGGCAGTGCACATCTTCGTGCCGATTCTTGGACAGACACAATCCCCATTGAAGATTTGTGGGTGAGCTGGGATTGTGTTTTGCATCTCAGACTTGGGGACCAGAGAATAGGCATGTGTTTGTCCAGGCTTGGAGAGAGGAATGGGACAGAATCCCACCAGACCTCATGTGCAGCTTGACGTCAAGAATGCATCGCACGTGTGGGCACTTGTGTTGTTTCCTTAGTATTGTTGTATTGCTGTGGTCATGCAAGCTGCACGCCTGGGACTTGCACAGGAGACCCTGCATTGATCAGCCCTCTTGATGACAGATGTTAATCGGCACATTCAGCCCTGCCAAGTCCATTCAATAAAATGTCATGGCACCACCTGCAAAAAGTGATTTCCTGGTAACTTAAGGAATTTGTTGCAGCGGAAAGTGGTACTTTTCTCTTGATACTTAGCAGAAGTTTAAATCGACGTGTTAGTGTAGTACCTCTCAAAAGGGTGAACATTCCATGTGTGGATTGCAAGGGATACAGACTTTTCACTTCAGTCAATCCTCAGATCCACTAGAAGGCGAGATGCCTGTGTCCTCTTTTAGAAGGCAGGATTGTACGTTATTTCAGAGTGTAAGGAAATTACAGTATACTAGACAATTGGTGGTGGCTGGTGTCATCTTATTCTAGGAAAATTGTGCATCTAAGGAGCTGGTATGAATTACCTGCTAAATCGGCTTAGGGTGCTTGAAAGTTATATAGTTTTCCTTAATACATTTGCTTCTAAGGTTTTGGAAACGCCATGTACGAATTACAGACAATATTATTGTCTATTCTTGCTGATCACTGGACTGCAAATATCCCTGTTTTAATACCCAGCTTGCTCCTCTTTAACACATTCTGCATATTGATGTCGGAGTTGTTCTCCTTGTCCTAGTGAAGCCGTTCAGCTCAGAGCTGTTTGTGTGTTGCCTACAAGATGGTGTTAAGTTATATACCTGAACTGCAGTGTACATTTTGGGAAACTGCACTTGCAGATGTTTATGTGTTACCTGAAATTTACGTTTTGTGAGCTTGAGTAAACTAAACACATTTCTTGCAGTACACACCCTTCTCAATTTCATAGTCTCCTTGTAGCGGAAAAAGAAGGACATTTCAAATATCAAACTGTGAAGTATGATGAGAACGAGGAGACCATTATCTGTTCACAGATCAAAGGATATTAGTGATTCTAGGGATTGCAGAACAAGAATGAACACTATAGCTCTTGACCGCAGTTTGTCTCTCTCTGTACTTATTGTATGTTAATCTGTATGCATTATCATTGTATACTGTACATGACAAAAAGCCTCTTTCTTAAGTTTAATTTTGCCCCTTTTCTCTGCTTTATAGGTAGTTCATATCTATCCCAGAACGAAAAAAGCAGTTTGAAGATGTGATGAATAATTCTTTGCTATGTTCTGTGACAATGCCTTTTCAATGTCACTGTGTATTGAATTTGTTTCACATCGCACTGTATTGTAACTGAAATGTGACATTTTCTTCTCTTTTTTTTTCCCATCCCTGCAGGGATAATAAGAACGGAAGAACTTTTGGACCATGAAACCACCTCGCGCTATTGGTTGACGGTCTACGCTACCGATCAAGGGGTTGTGCCCCTCTCCTCCTTCATTGAGGTCTACATCGAGGTGCAGGATGTTAATGATAATGCACCCCAGACGGCGAAGCCGGTATATTACCCTTCAGTCATGGAGAACTCCTTGAAGGATGTTTCCATCATCCAGATAGAAGCCTTTGACCCCGACTCCAACTCCAGCGACAAGCTGACCTATAAGATTACAAGCGGAAATCCTCAGGGCTTTTTCACCATCAACCCTAAGACCGGTAAGAGCTTTCTTTTGGGTTGTTGGTGCCGTGCGGGTCCTGTGCAGCTGGACGTTTTAACGCTGTAGTCCAGTTGCTGGCATTCTGGACTTCACAGTGTGAAGAACATGATTCCCATGGCAAGGTGCTGTATATACTTGCTTCAGCCACCTCGGTAGGGAACATATGCTCCTGCCATGTCTTAAATACAGGGCGAGAGAAGAGAAAAAGTCCTAGAAGGCATGAATTCTGAATCGTCGTCTCGCAAATTTTAACATGGGACAAGTCATAACATATCATCCCCAGTATGTCGATTTCTGCATCTTTGTGTATAAAAAAATGTCATTAACTTTAACAGTTAAATAATCCTGAAAAATATAGCTTAATTAATTAAATAATCATTTAAATTTTGAAATCTCTTGCACGTTAACCCTGCAGTGTGCAACTGTAATGCTGAGAATGTGGGGAGAGAAAATGACAAAACAGATGGGCTCGCAAATGCTCTTTCAGAATTCTATAAATATAAACCTTTGATTTAAAAATACACCTGAAAGGGAAGCATGTGTCCATTTAGTTAAGAGACCTGCCCCAGAAAACGAGTATCCATTCCATTTGCATCTGTATGTGCTTGTCGCTCTGGGAGGTCCAGGGGAAATGATGAAACAGGTGTAGTCTACCAGTTCTTTTTCAAAGGTAACTCAGAGTAGAACAGTCTGGCAGTATTGTAGAAACATACTATCCATGTAATTAGAAGCATACATACCTAACGTCATTTTTACCACAAGTATGATAAAAAATCCCAGTGTAAACGTTTTGTGAACATGGCCCTTTTTTCAAATACCTAGTTATCTTTAAAAGTCAGGAAAGTTAATTCTGTGAATGATATTTTTTTTTAAAAATGAAATCCTAGAGCAGACTTTTCAAGACAGTTACCGGCTGGTGCAAAATGCAGGTTGTGGTTCCCAAACATTTCCTATTTTGATGTAGAAAAAGTATCCCCCATTATGATTTTCTTCAAAATTTCAGTACGCCTTATTGTTTTACAGACACTAAAAATTATAGTTTAGAATATTAGTCTGTTTAATAGTCCTTGATTAACTATAAGAACTAGTACTTTATTCTTGAACGCATAAAGTAATTCTTATGTATGTGAAAATATGTAAACAGATTGAACATTACTCTAAGGCAGTATAACTAAACTCCAGTCTCACAAAAGTCCTTATTAATGTTGTTGTGCTGAAGGAAAAAAATCGTATTTGTAGTAGTTTGTATTTTCTTGTTTTATTGAGATTATAGATGGAACAAATCAGTATTTAAAGCTGTCCTTTGAATTCAGGATAAAAACTGTACTTCAGTATAATCCGCTCAAAATGTTTTCTGCGATCAACTTTGAAATTATATTGCACACTGATCAAGCCTGCTTAGCCTGAGTGGAGCCTTTTATTCTAATAACAAATTCAGTATATTTTCTGTTGGCAAGGTCATTGGAAGAATGTACAAAGGACTGTGAACAAGGAGATGGACCAGAGGAGAAATTAAAAAATAAATTAAAATTCTTCTGCTACCTCCAGAATCCTGAGAAAGGAAATCAGCTTGTCTTCTACAATTCAATGTGATATTTCGGTACTACAGACTGACAAAGATATTTATTTTAGATATACTTCTTATAAAAGAGGAAATTTAAGGAGCATCATTCTGTACAGATTTGAGTCTAATCATAAAGTAGAATATATTCATTTGACAGATTATCACTTATTGTCACTTATCATTCATGTTCTCGTTCTTTACTCAATGCGTACATTAAATTCAGGGCACTGTTGAGTGAGTAAAACCCATTTGTGTGTTTGAGAGCTTGTTGGAGAATTTACCAGCTTTGGAGCTGTCTGTCATAGAGCCACCCAAAGAAATAACACTTCCTGCTCTCCTCTAATAAAGACGCATTATGGACAACGATTCTACTGAGACGTGGGGGTGTTAAATACAATTTGTTTCCGGGATTCATTATTCTTGACTAACAACGTCGTCATTAACCAAAACAGGGAGAATGAAGTATTGATCCGCAGTGTTTTTGGCGATAGGTAGTATGTGCTGGGAGGTAATGAAGCCACTCTTCTTCCTTGCGGAAACGTGTTTCAGGAGTTATCGAAGAATCCCCGTTAGTTCTCTCATGTGGTGAATTGGTAACATTAGGGGTAATTACACAGAACAAAATGAGTCAACTCTTTGATGAAGGGGTTCGAGTGGGGCGCTGGATCAGAGTAGCGGGCAGAGATGAATCTACCCTGGAAGCAGAAAGGAGAAAACAATGTATGAATGTGCTGTAGAGCCTTCAGGTATCACGGTGTATAGTTATTGCGCAGCTCTCGTGTGATAATAATATCACTTTATTGGCCCTGTACAATTTCTTGCATTAGGAATTTGTCTTTTCGCAGACCCCAGCTTGCTCTCCATGAGACACACAGGCAGGGAGAGGGAAGCTTGGGGTCAGAGCGCAGGCTCAGCCATTCGTACGGCGCCCCTGGAGCAGTTGGGGGGGTGAAGGGCCTTGCTCAGGGGCCCATAGGAGTAGGATTCCTCTGCCGGCTGCGGGATTTGAACCAGCAGCCTTCCAGCCACAGGCGCAGATCCTGAGCCACAGTGCCGCCGCTCCGCCCTATCACGGCTGTATTGTATTTTTTTATTGGAACGTTTAGCCATTGTAGGTTGAGAACCAGAAGAAACAAGGGAAATTCTGTGTCTGCACTAGTAGAAGGCAGCCACACACTTGTCTGAGGCTGTTGTCGTATGTGACCTGTTGCAGCACACCGCTGGCAAGGGCTGTGAAATACAATTTAATCTCTTTAAAATGAATCAAAGTTTTAAGGTTACTAGGAGCGAGACTACATAAAGGTGAATGATAAAACTGAAAGCCTTCATTTCTTTATCATTCACCTTTATGTAGTCTCACTGCTACACAACTGTGCAGTTGTGTCAATAACTGGTGTTTACACACGGGTTTCTGGAGTTTTCTTTTCTATTCCACTTGGCAGATGTTTCAATGCACACTGCACAGCAAGGTTTTGCAAGACTGACCTTGAAATTAATTGTGATCTAAATATTTTAGTTTCATGTCAGTACGGTATTAACGTTTACAGTCACCTGAATCGCTTCCGGCACAAGCAGAATAAGTGGGCTGCGTTTCGTTGAGTGTTGTTGTTTGCTCGTTTGCTGCACAGTAAGGTTTGGGCAGTGATGTCGAGAGCCACACATTCCTGTGTTAGCCTTCTTGTTCTTTGGATCTGGTCCTTGTATATAAGAGTCGAGAGCTGAAAGCAAAACAACAAAAAAAGAATGTACAGTTTATAAAGAAGCTGCATAGAATTACTATTCATTACTATTCACAGAGCTAGGGAACACTCTAGCACATTAATGTAAAAGGTCTTTTTATCAGTGTTTAAAAGGAAAATGCAATTTATTCTACATGCAGCCTGCCAAAGAGCAGAATTCAACAAAGACCAAATAATAAGTAAATATGACATTACCAGCTGCATAATACGCAGGTAGGTTATTTGATTTATTAATAGTGTAGGTGGAAAGATGAATCGATTAAAAGAAAATGTGACAAAAGCTTCACCTGATCGTAATTAAAAAGCGTTACATAACACTAATGCAAATCAAAATAATTCTGATTAATCCCTAAAGAGGGCTGTTTTTTGTTTGAATTTATTTGAAACCCACTACATTTAAAATTTTAGGAACATTTAGGAACCGTCTAACTCGTTTGGTAGTTAGAAGTTAATTGATCCAAGGATCACATCCAGCTCTTGAATGAAACGGGTATCGGCTTTCATCGATATACAACATGGCTGGGCAGCAAGCTGTCTGTTACTTCCTCAACCCTTAGCGAGGTACAAGGTAGATTTCAAAGTTTATTATTTCAAGCTCAAGACATAACTGTACCTCTTACTGTTTTTCTTGCGTTATGAAACTATTGAGAAAAACAAGAATGTTGTTTGTGTCCTAGATCTGCCAGCAGCCGCAGAGTCTGGGTGTTTTTGTTGTTGCGGCTTTACTAAACAAGTCTTGGTTGCAGACTTGTGGCTCTGCAGAGAACTGATGCAGCACATTAGATATCTGCTCGTGTACAGATTTAGAATTTTCCTTAAGTTTTTACACTGGCGTGCGTCATCTTTCTGTTGCGGGAGAAACTCTCTCGGATTACCCAAGACCGAATACGGCACCAGTGTGTATTAACAGAGACCTGCAGGAATCACATTTGTCCTTTTCACATATTTCTAGGGGCTTTGCAAACAAGCTCGTCACACTTCACAAAAAAAGATCAATCGTTAAGCCCCAAAATCTTGAGCTTCAGAAAGTGCCTTTCTTTAATATCAAAATCTTTTTTGAAATCAAGTGTCGACTACCTTTCTTCTCATTGATTAAAGAAAAGAATACGGGTCGGGCCAGCAAAGTTTATTTCCCGAACATTCCTGCAGTAAATCTAGGAGCGAAAAAAAACAGCCGTTTAGCTGGGCACATTCAGCGGTTCCCAGGCCTCCGAAGCTTTGTTCTTGTCACGTTTCCCTCGTTTGTTCTCCAAACGATGGAGACTTTTGCGGATGGGCCGAATCAGTATCTTGGCACCTTTCGGGCAGTTTGAAAAACCGCGTTTGATGTCGGTACCTCTCTGCCTGCGTGTGCCGCGGTCCCATTCATGTCGGGCTTCCTGGCGTCAAGGCCGGGCAGCCCCGCGCCGGGAGTGCCCATCCAGCTTGGCGCGAGGAGGTGTTGCTGTCGGGCATGCCATTGATGCTGCCCACGTATGTTGCGCTTCGGTGACTGTGGTGAGGCATAGGCGACGCTCTGTGCCACATACCTTAGCATTTTCAAAGGGGAGCTCTTTGGAGCACAGTGGTGCCGTGTGGCCAGTGGCCAGCATGTCAGAAGCATGCATCTGAATGTGTCATACACCAGGCGATTAAGATTGGGATCTGTGTAATAAAGCCCTTTGAGGTGATCAGAGATCAGCAGTGTGTCAAGCT